TGAGAGGGGAAATCACAGTCATCAGGTGATCAGATGTCCAGAGCTGGAGCTGGATGACCTTGCCTCTCTGCCTTTGTCAGGTAGTCCTGGAGCTGGGGCTGGGTCTGGCAGTGCTTGGGCCCAGTAGAGGCCAGGACACTTCCCTGCCCTGCCTGCAGACACTGAGCACCTGAGAATCTGGGATGTGTCCTGCAGAGGGTGCCACTGATCCACATATTATCCTGAAAAGCTAAACCAAATCAGTATTGTGCTATACCCAAAATGAAAATGAAAGATTATGAAAAACAAGATGTGGTAGGAGGTGTGTCAATTCCAGGAATGAAGGATAGTCTTATTGTATTAGCCACTCTTAAAATTATAAAGAATGGCCCCGATATTATTCTTTCCTGTGTGGAAAACATAGTTGCTACCAAAAAGAAACATGAAGGCATTAAAGTAAACTACTTTTTTTTTTTTTTTTGGTACTGGGGATCAAACTTGGGACACTGCATTTGCGAGGCAGGCACTGGAACCACTGAGCTAAATCCCCAGTCCAAAGTAAACTACTTTTAATTAGGAATGCCTGACTTTCATTAACTGAATTCCATTTAAGTAGCTGTTCTATATCTTTTTTTTTGCGCCGGGGATCGAACTCGGGACCTTGCGCTTTTGAGGCAGGAGCCGGAACCACTGAGCTAAACCCCCAGCCCTAAGTAGCTGTTCTATAAAACTGAACATGTCCTTTTTATGCAAATGACATTTGTATTTAATGTACCAAATAGTTAATCTAACTTTTATAATATAGTTTACACAAATCCTTAAAATAAAAAGATCATTTTTTTCTTTGAATACATTTTTACACATAAATTTGTTAAAACTGTGATATCTCATTTAGAAAACCAGTTAGGACAACTGTATCACTTTTTAGAATAATTGTAACAGTTATTTCCTGAAAAAACAGTGTAGGCTGCTATAATCAAATGAGTCAAGTTTAGTAAGCTGTGGGAGTGGTGGTATTAGACTATGTAGGTCCTCACATATCCTAATTAGTAGGTCATAATGATAAAGGTTGAAATAATTGTGCCAACAGTATTCAATGATATCAAGATATAAAATGTACAGAAATGTTTACCTTTTTGAAAGGAATTTATGTGTCTGCTCAGGAATATTTTTACCCCTTTTCTTCATGCTATACTGGGGGGCATTTGACACTTCCTAGTTGTGATGTTTTTTGAACTTTTACATAAATAAAATTTGCCCTATGAAACCTGACACCTGGTTCATTTTTTACATAGTTTAAGGAAACATGAGTTTTTTAAAATTTTACTTTGATTTCACATTTTTCTCTTTTGCAACTTTAAATATGCCATGTTGAAAATAAAGACTTCCTAATAGAAAAGAAAATATTTTTTACTTCATTTGCTTCTGCCTGTTAGCAGTCAGAAACTTCTAATTTTTCTAGTATTTATGTACCAGCCTTTTAAAAACTAACCGAAGAGAACCCCCACACATGCACACACTCATAGTTACTAACTTGCAAGCTTAGCTGAAGAATGTCATTTCCCATGTGCTTTCAGCGTCTGCAGCCAGGGCCAATAATTCGCTCCCACTCTTTACTGCTGAGCTTGAACAGCCTGAGAATCATTTATTCAGCACTCAAGATGGCCTTTATCAATAGAGAAGGCAAGAAAGGTGAAACTAGTTTGCCCTCCTTGGTTTATAAATTAATGACCTAATCAAAGTCCATGCATTGTTTTCATCTCTGAGTTCTACTTGAGTCGGTTTCAGCAAGAGCCAAAATACTTACTTTAAATTCTTTCTTTCCTTTTTCAATTGCATGTACATTTGGAGTTTTGTTCAAGTATTTAAAATTTTTATTAAGATTATATATATTTGGGAAGCTTTTATATCTTTACCAATCATTGTGTGAGTGTTCAGTTACAGGAACTAGATCTGCTACTTGAAATATATAATGATTCAATACTTTATAAGGAATTGATACTTTTTAAAAGGTGCTGAAAGGGCTAGAGAAGTGTCCTTAGGACAAGGATCTCATAAGTGAGTCCCAGGAGACTATTGCAGAACTGGACTGTCTTAGGAGCTGCTACCACTGCTACCCATTAGGAGGACAGAGAATCAGGCCCTCACAGCTGGAATGAATGATGTTAGTAGTACACAACAGTAGGTACAATTCAGAAATCAACAGGATACAGTAGCAACACTCAGTATCCACAGAGCTAATGACTGGGGGGCTGCAGTAAATAATGCCATCTTTGTGAGCATGCTTGCCAGCAAAAACAAAACAAAAGCTGAAACAAATAAATAAAGCAACATGTTATTTTAACTTCAAATTCACCTTCCATTTCTTCCTTAAATGTACCTTTTGGTAGAAATAATTCACTTCTAGAAACCTAACTGCAAATAGATCTGGGAAATTAAGTATTTAACTTTCTAGATTTATAGCCCATGGAGGTAAAGCATGAAAGAAACTGGAATGAATTTTTAGTCACACATTAGCTTACCCAGCCAAACTGTCACCTCCACGAATATTGTGCATCTGCTTTTCAAGTCATTTATATATTTTAGCAGAGTTTATAAAACTTTCTTATGGATTTTTGTCACATGAATTTCCAGATATGATATAGTTTTATTCTTATTTCTCTCCTACTTTGACATTGCAAATATCTTTTTTTGGTTTGATACATCTGTTTGTTGTTGTACTCTTGTTGAAAGGAGACAGATTTTTGACCTGAATACGATCTAGTAATCAATTTACAGTATGCACAAAAGACTGAAAAAAATGTTAAATTATTCCACAGAATGCAATCAATAAAATTCAGGTAATAGGAAATGCTAGGATAATTGATTGAGTTTCTCTTTTGTTTTTTGCTTTTGTGACAGGGTCTTGCTATGTAGTTCAGGTTGGCCTTGAACTCACTATGTAGCCCAGGCTGGCCTCAACCTCAAGTCACTCCTTCAAGTGCTGGGATTACAGATGCATGCTACTACACCCAGACTTGGTTTCTTCAATAAACAAATTCCAAGTGGAAAAAAAGGACTATGAAGTTCTTTGCATTAAAAATACAACCTAAGACATATCAAAACAACCCAAAAGAAGGGCTGGGGATTTAACTCAGTGGTTCCGGCACCTGCCTCACAAGTGCAAGGTTCTGCGTTCAGTCTCCAGTACAAAGAAAAAAGAAACAGCCAAACCTGTAGTGTGTAGTGAGGATACATGCTTAGGTGATAAAACTGAAAAGAAATCATAAAAATAATAGTCATTATTTTTGAGGGAAGAGGGTACAATTGGAAGAAAGTTTTCTAGAGTGGGAAAGCAAGTGTTTGCTGTGTGTGTGCACATGCGCATGTGCACAGGTATGTGGGCCACACTGGTAGTTGAACCCAGGCCCTTCATACTAAGCTACATTCCTGGTGCTTTTTATTTTTTAATTTGACACAGGGTCCGACTAAGTCACTAATTTGCCCAGGTTGGGCAATTCTGCAATCTTCTTGCCTCAGCCTGTGAGAGTACTGTGTTACCAGGTAGCTCCTTCTAGAAATTGGCTTGCCAAACAAAGATTACTGGCTTTGAGTTGCTCCAGTATCCTTCTGGAGTTGGATTCCAGGTTCTTCTCACTTCAGACAAAGAATTGAACAAAATGAGCAAAAAACTGCCATGGGCTGAGCCTAAAGATGGACTTTCACCTAATCCCTACTCCCTTTCTCCTCCATAGATCAGAGAGTCAAACAGACACTAAGATTGTAGATCCTGGATGGCACAGCCCCAGGAGATAGTTACATTATGTATACTTGTTCCTTTTCTGTGCATGCCCCGATCATGAGATAGTCACATCCAGCCTAGGCCTCGTGGGCCATGTGGCATTACTTGCCCCACATTCCTACACTATAAATTCACAGCACACTAGATTATAAAGCTTAATCTTGGTATTTATCTTTCTTTTTATTCTTCATCTCCCACGACTTTCTCTGGCTTTGGACCCTACTGGTTCTGCAGAGCACGCTTGGGTCAAGTAAAAGAGGAAAAGCAAAATAAAAGCACACTCTGAAGGACACAGGGTGGGCTTTTGTGAAGAAAGCCATAATAGGAAGCTCTCCTTGGTGTTTGTGATGTTTTGTGCTGTCCCAATCTAAAGAAACCCACAAGAAATTCTGTATACAAGTTCTAAGAGATAGGCCTGAGAGGTGATGGAATCTCACGTCTCAGGCTGATGTCAGGTCCAGGCCATCCTATTGAAAACTTGCTTGCATTCTCATGAGAAGTCCACATCCAGAGGTTTGGAAAATGTTCTGTGCGTGTGTTCTAGGATCCTGTAGTTAACAGGTCATGTCAGCTGCCCCAGCCAGCTTTGTCACAACCTGATTGCCTGTCTCATTTCCCCTGAAAGGCACAAATCCTCATAATTCTTTATGGAGTGTTGAGGGAGTGGAAGTCTGTCTTTCATAGCTCCTTCCAGCTGGAAGGGGCTGTAGACCTTACCTACAGGGGATTATGTGCTCTCCGACTACCTTGGGGTGCTGTGGTTCACTGGCTGGGTTGAAGAAGAAAAACTTATCAGAAAACAATGAGAAAAGAGTTAATGACCATTGAGCTGCCTGTTTGACTAAAGAATGAAACTTCACTTTTAGCCCAAATATTAGGAGCATGTCAGATTTGTATGCTTCCTTTAGTGGCAGTGGAGTCTTGCTTTTTCAAGAAATATTGCAAGTCTTCCAGTTTAGAAGAGTAGCTTTCTTCTTTTGAGTGATCTTATTCAAACTTAATGGAAAAAAAATATTTGCTAATTATGTGTCTTTGTTTCTTTTCTTGTTGCTGGGACCAAATACTCAACATCCACAAGATAAAGGAGGAGAGGTTTATTTCACTTCACAGTTTGTAGAGGTTTCAGTTCACTGGAGTCAGCTGGCCCCAGTACAGGGCAGCATGGCACAGGGACGTGGCAGAGAAGAAACAGTTCACAGCAAGGCAGGCAGGATGCAGCAATCAGTGAAGCAAGTCTCCCTTTCACCTTTATCCCATCCAGGCTACACATCTTTTGGGTGGTGCCACCTACACCCAGGGTGGGCTTTTCCTTTATCCATATACATGAGTATGCTAACCCAATCAGTGGACTGATTTAGTACCACACACCCTTCATCCCAGTATCACACACCCTAGATCAGCTAGCTCTGAAAAGCCTCATATATGAGTGCATGAGGCTTTGGGGGGACATGTAGATCCAAAGCATAGCATTCCTCTCCTAGTCCCTAAAAGACTCACGCAGATCTCTTCATGCAATAGGCATTTAGTCTATTTCTGAGAGTTTCTAAAGTCCTACCAGTTTCAGCATTGGTGAAAAATCCAAGTTCAAAGTCTCCTCTGACCTTTCAGGCAAACTCTTATTTATTAGCACCTGCACAAAGGACAAGAAAGTTATACACTTCCAAAATACAATGGCACAAGATAAACATTCACATTCCAAAAAGTACAAATAGGGGGACAGTAAAGAACGGAACCAAGGCAAGTCTAAAATTCAGTAGTGCAAATATTAAGTCCCCTAGTTCAATGTCCAGCATCCAGGACAAGATGTGAACTCCAAAGGCCTTGGGTTGCTCTACCCCAGTGGCACTGCCTGTGGTTGTAGCCCTCATGACCTCTCTTTGGCTGGCTTTGCTCACTTCTTGTAGCTTTCCTCAGATGATCCACCATCTTGGCTTCTCCAACTTTCTGGGGTCTCCACTGCACATTTGGCTTCACACTCACAACTTCATATACTGCCCCCACAGGGGGACACTGCCTGCTTACCCGGGCCTTATTTTAAAATCTAGGTGGAAGTGTTCCTGATCCAATAACTCTTGCATTCTGCACAAAACTAAAACCAGCACCATGTGGATGCTGCCAAGGTCTGCTGCCAACTGGAGCAGTGGCCAGGCTTCCTTCTATCTTGGCTGTAGGTGTCAAGTAAGTGACTGGATGCTGAGTGCTATGAACCTAGTCCCAAGGAACAAATTCTCTAGGCCATCACCATTCTAGAATATAGTACCCTGGGGCTCTCTTCTTAAAGCAAAGTCTTTCAACTTTTCAACCCTGAGGTTGCAAGGGTGGCGTCTTCATGGTTGTTCTGATGTCCCCATGCCATCTTTTCTATTGTCCTATCCAAAATACTTGGCTTTTTATTGCTAATCTTTTCAGCACCCAAGTTCTCCTCAGTCACATATTTGTAGGCTGCAACTTTATTGGAGCTTTCTTTGCGGCCAAACTCAAAACTTTAAAAATCATTCTGATAGGTTCTTTGCTCTTGATTCTCAACATAGATCTGGTTAAAAACCCCTAGAAGTATCCATGCCATCACTTCAATATTAGACTGCCTTGAAATTTTTTCTGTCATGTTAATAGTCCAATCCCCTGCAATCTCAGTTTCAAGCAGTCTCTGGACATTAGTGAAACACAGACAAATTTCCTGCCAAAGCATAACACACATGATATGGAGTTCAACTGTCAATGAAGTCCTTGTTCCCAACTGGAACCTCTTGAGCCTTGAATTCCAGAGGCATTCTGGTCAGCATTGTGGGCTTCTGACCTCTGTTCAAAATCTCCCATCAAGTTCAGCCTATAGCATACCTAGGATGCCTCTTCAGCTTCAGGCTTTTGAATCACATGGCCAGAGCCCACTCCTGGAACTAAAATATATCTTACTTTGTCCTTGCTCACAAAATACTTGACACCCTCCAGTTAAATGAGGAAATGTTTATTTTAGCTCATAGTTTGCACAGGTTTTAGTCTATAGTTGGTTGACCCAGCCAGCTCCAAAAAGCTCCATCGATGAGTGGGTGAGGCCTTTGGGGGCACATCTAAATACAATCCATAATGCTATGCTTCTACAGAGGACTGATATCTAGAATACCAAGAAAATTAAAAGCTAACCCCATGAAACAATGAACACAGTAAAAAAAAACTAGGCAAATTGAGTAGATACTGTTCTCAAAAAGCAGTTCGAATTCCTCAGAGGTATATGAAATGTTTAATATATCTAACCTTCAGAAAATGCAAGTAAAAACTTAATTGAGATTTGATGACCTCACTCCAGTCGGAATAGCTGTCATAAAGATTAAAAGGACAATGAATGCTGGTGAGAATGTGGGGGAAAACAAACCCTTTTATATTGTTGGTGTGCACATTTCTGTGTGGACAGACTGTCACTCCTCTTGGCTATGTACCTAAGAGTGGACTTTCTGTGTCATGTGGTAACTCCAAGTTTAACATTCTGAAGAACTGCCAAGTTGTTTTCCACAGTGGCTGAACCATTATATAATTTCACCAGCATATCTAAGGGCTATAATTTGTTCACACTCTTGCCAAGATTTGTGATTGTCTATCACATTTATTATAGCCATCCTGGATAATAATAGTGTGAGCAGCATCTCCTTAGGGTTTCTAAATTTGCATTTCTTTAATGACTAAGTTGAGCATCTTTTCATGTGCTTATGAATCATATATGCATGTCTTCTTTATTAAACTGTTTATATCTTTTGCTCATTTTTGACTCATTTGTTTGTTAATGCTTCACTCTTCTGTCACCCTTGGCAAATGCAAAAATTTAGTAATACAATCTGCTGGTGCAGTACCAGTATGGTAATGCATACCTTCCTATTAGTGGTGGCAATATCAATTGATACAACTACTATCTATAACAATTTAACAATTCATTGACGTTATATATGCATATATTCTTTCGTTTTGTGGAGGAATTCCACTTCTAGTAATATTGCCTGCAGTTACACTTACACATATATAAAGGTATGAAATAAAGGGTAATTTACAGTCATATTGTTTGTAAAAATTCTGACAGGATCAATAAATTATACCCACACATGCAAGCAAAACAAAGGATGTAGATATTTAATACTTATGCAGAAACACCTCCAAGTTATATTAATTTTAAAAATTCTAAAACAAAACATATTATTTGGAGGCTGGGAATGTAGCTTAGTAGTAGAGTATTTGCACAGTGTGTGCAAGCTCTCAGATTCTATCCTGAGCACTGCAAAAATAAAGCTCCATAGGGGTTAAAAAAAGAAAGAGCAAAAATAGACATGTATATTACTTTGTTTTTATATGTGTATTATATGCATGTCAAGTGGAGCACCAGAAAACAAGTGCAAAAATTAGCAGGGAGATTGCTCCACACTTTTTCATAGTTTAGTTATATTATACATTAAAATGTTTAGTAAAAAGGATATCCAAAGCTTAATGATTTTCTTTTGAACAGAATGTTTAAAAGTAACTATAGATATTAAAAGGAATAAGAAACATACCTTTGTGGCTTCCATTATAATTTTATTAATTTTCTCTTTATCTAATCCTCCCATTCCTGCTTTATTATCATTAAGTCCCATCCTAAGCAGAAGATCATCTTTGTAATTGTCATTCTTCTCCTTTGTGGTATCCATGGTGTGGACTTAAAGTGGTTTCTTCTTTGTTATCTGAACAGGGACATAAAATGAACACAGATTTTAAAACTATCCACTTCAAAGTTAAAATGATAGGGAAGTCAGCAAAACATTATTTCAAAATGATAGCTAGGAATTCTTAGCTCTTGAACCAAAACTTTGAACAAATGGACTTAGGAAAAATCAACAGTGTTCTAACCAACAACAACAGAATACACATTCTTCTCAGAAGCACAGAGGATTTCCTCCAAAATTGAGCCCATACTAGCTCATAGAACATGCTTAGGTAAATGCAAAGGAATGGAAATTATCCCATGCATATTATCAGATCATAGTGCAATGAAATTGGAAATCAATGGCAAAACCACAAAAACATAAACACCTGGAAATTAAATAACACCCTCCTGAACAATCAATGGGTCACAGATGAAATTAAAGAAGAAATTAGATAGTTTCTACAATTAAATGATAATACCAATATGACATACTGGAACCTATGGGATGCAATGAAAGCAGTCTTATGAGGGAAATTTATAATGGAGAATTCTCACATCAGAAAAATAGAGCAAACTCAAATAAATAACCTAATGTTGAACCTCAAGCTTCTAGAAAAAGAAGAGCAAGCTAAACCTAAAGCATGTAGGAGGGAGGAAATTATAAAGATCAGAGCAGAAATTAATGCAGTTGAGACTAAGAAAACAACACAAAGAATCAGAGTTGGTTCTCTGAAAGATTAAATAAAATAGACAAACCCTTAGCCAACCTTATTTTTTTAAAAAAAGGAGGGCTTGGAATTTAGCTCAGTGGTTCCAGCGCCTGCCTCGCAAGTGCTAGGTCCCGAGTTTGATCCCTGGTACCAAAAAATAAAAATAAAAAAAAGGAAAGGAAAGACTCAAATCCATGCAATTAGGAATGAAAAGGGTGAAAAGACAACGGACCCAGCAGAAATTCAGGGGATCATCAATACCTACTTCCAGAACCTATACGCCAATAAGATGGACAGCGCAGAAGAAATGAAGAGATTCCTAGACACATATGAATTACCAAAGGTGAATCAAGAAGATATAAAAATTCTAAATAACCCAATATTAGTCAATGAAATTGAAGAAGTAAGTTAAAAAATACCAACAAAGAAAAGCTCAGGTCCTGACAGATTCACTGCTCAATTGAACAGTGAACTTTAGAAAAGATCTAATACCATTACTCCTCAAATTCTTTAATGAAATTGAAAGGGAAGCAATATTTCCAAAGTTGTTCTTAGAAGCAAGCATTACCCTGATACCAAAACTCGAGAAGGATTCAACCAAAAAAGAGAATGACATGCCAAACTCCTTAATGAACATCGATGCAAAAATCCTCAGGATGATACTGGCAAACAGAATGAAGGAAATCATCAAAAAGATAGTACACCATGACGAGCAGGATTCATTCCAGAGATGCAGGGATGGGTCAACATATGCAAATCAATAAATGTAATATACCATATTAACAGAACCAAGGACAAAAACCACATGATCATTTCAATAGATGCAGAAAAAACATTTGACAAAGTCCAACACCCATTCATGATGAAAACACTAGAGAAAATTGTGGAGTAGGTCTTTCTATTAACCTGACAAAAGCCATTTATGACAAACCAACAGCCAACATCATACTAAATGGTCAAAAATTGAAAAGTTTCAGTATAAAACAAGACAAGGATGCCCACTATCACCACTCTTGTTCAATACAGTTCTCTAAACACTGGCCAGAGCAGAGAAAGAAATAAAAGGAATAAGGATAGGAAGGGAAATTAAATTATTATTTACTGATGACATGACGCTCTACATAGAAGACCCTAAAAATTCCACTAGAAGATTCCTATAATAACCAGATTCAGCAATGTAGTAAGATAGAAAGTCAGCCCTCAAATAGCATTCTTGTATGCAAATAACAAACTCACTGAGAGAGAAATTATGCCTTTCACAACTGCATCAAGAAAAATGAAATACTTAGGAATCAATCTAACAAAGGGAGTGAAAGACCTATACATCGAAAACTACAGTACTCTGAAAATGGATCAAAGAAGGTAACAGAAAATGAAAAGATATCCCCTGTTCTTGTATAGGCAGAGTCAATATAGTGAAAATGGCCATACTTCCAAAACTGTTATACAGATTCAATGCAATCCCAGTCTAACTACCAACAGTATACTTCACAAAAGTAGAGAAAACTATTCTAAAGTTCAAATGGAACCAGGAGAGACCCAGAATTGCTTTTGCAACAAAGTCAAGGCAGGGAGCATCACAACCTCCAACCTGAAGTTATACTACAAAGCTACCATGATAAAAACAGCATGGTACTGGAAAAAAAAATATAAACAAACAAAAAAACCCCAAAACAGACCCGAGGATCAATGGAATAAAATAGAAGATGCAGAAACAACTCTAAAGGTTCTCAGCTGCCCTATCTTTGACAAAGGGGGCAAACATCTTCACTGAGAGAAAGATAGTTTGTTTAATAAATGGCACTGTGAAAACTGGCTTTCCACATGCCAAGAATTGAACCTAGACCCATATCCTTTACGATGCACTACACTAACATAGAAATGGATCCAAGATCTAAATATAAAAACAGAAATACTTAATATGCTGGAAGATAGAATAGGTAAAATTCTAGAAGACATAGGTGTAATAATGTATTCACTTGTAGGAAATTATTACACTGTACCACATTATATCACCTCTACGGTTAAGAAAATCCATTTCAAGGTCAGACATGGTGATACCTGCCTTAGTCCCAGCTACCCTTGAGGCTGATAGAGAAGGATCACATAGGCACAGAAGTTAGAGACCAGTGTGGGCAATATAGTGAGATTCCCATCCAAAACAAAAGAAAATGCGCTTAAAATAATAATTCTTTAATATCTCTATAGAATTCAATTACTTGGTATTTTCTAATAATCCATGCAAATGTAATTCAGTCATACTTTCACCAGCATTATGAAAGAGCGAGTCAGGAGGCTAAATGCAGACTTCTCTATTTAAGCTGCTTGCCTTTTAAATGATTAAGTGTAATGAAAGGAAAAGAAACACCTAGTGAATGACTAAAATTTTATAATTACCTTACATATTAATATATTCATATATAATTAGTGAGTCAAACTTGAGAAGAATTGGCTTCAGTTCTTAACTGAGTCAGAATTGGACAATCAGAAATACTGGCACCAAGGCAAATTGTGAGATAGGTATACTTTTCAGTTACTTTCCTACCTGCTGATGCCTAATTATCTTACAATGTCCAGGCTCATGCGCATACATTGAATTTCATTTATATACCAATGATTTCTAGGTTTAAGGTGCCAGTTCAAATACCTATCTGACCTCTCAAATTTAACATATTCCCAAAACTGATCTTCTTAGCTGCCTCCATACCCTTAACCAGCTTCATTTTCTGTCTTCCTCATTTCAGTTAAGGGAAACTCTAATCCCTTTTAGTTTTTATGCAAATAATATTGGAATCATTCTTTTTAAAATATATTTTTACTAGTGCCTAATAATTTCACAAAATATTGGTTTTCAATGTGGTATTTTCATACATGCATATATTTTGATAATATTGATCCCCTGATTAACCTCCTTTATACCCCTCCTGTTATTATTTTCCTTTCATCTAATAAATCTCCCTTCTAGTTTTATGTCATCTTTTCTAGATTTTATTTATTAGGGAAACATGGAATATTTGTCTTTCTGAGTCTGGCTTATTTTCTTAACATGATGATCTTGGATTCCACTCATTTTCCTGCATATGATATAATTTCATTCTTCTTTAATGCTGTGTATGTGTATACACACACACACACACACACACACATATATACACACCATATTTTCCTCATTCATCTGTTGATGGGCAGCTAGGCTGGCTCCATATATTGGCCATTAAGAACTGTGATACAAATAAAAATTGTACAACAATAACCAAAAATGTGCAACCAAGAATAAACAAATGGGATCCTATCCAATTATAAAGCTTCTGGACTGTAAGAGAACCAACCACTTGAGTGAAAAGACAACCTACAGAAAGGAAAACAAAAATTTGCCAGCTATTCCATGGACAGAGGACTAACAACTAGAATACATAAAGAACCCCCAAAAATTTGATGGCCCAAATTAAAGACCCAATCAAAAAATGAGCAACAGAAATAGTCACTTCTCAGAATTCCATTAAGTATTCAACTTTGCAGGCCATTACAGAAATACAAATTAATACTGAGATTCCATCTTACTCCAGAAAGAATGGCTATCAAGAAATCACTTAATAACAACTGCTATTTGTAAAAGGAACCCTTTTGCACTGTTGGTAGAAAAGTAAACTAGTGCAACTACTATGGTAATCAGTGTGGAGAGTCCTCAAAAACTAAAACTAGAATTTCCCAGCTATTCCCCTTCTAGTCATCTTCCTGAAAGAGTTAAAGACATCATATTACAGTGATCCATGTATACTCATGTTTATAGCAACACAATTCATAACAGCTAAATCTTGGAAGCAGCCTGTATGTCCATAAATGGATGGATAAAGAAAATGTATTTACGCTCAATGGAGTACAACTCTATTATAAAGAAGGATAAACTTGAGACATTTGTAGGAAAATGGATGCACCTTGAAAGCATAATTTTAAGTGAAGCAAATCAGATACAGAAGGAAATATCACATGGTTTCTCTTATATGAGAAACCCAAATTATAAAGACCGAAATAAAAGATAATAGGAAGTACATAAGTCTGTCTCAAATGAGAGGAAGATCAAGAAATGGAGGTTGTGGTGGGAGGAAAAGGGGATGAGAAAAGACTTGAGGTGTGTTATGTACATGTACCAACTCCCCACAAGGAATATAATCTTTATATAATGCAAACATACACTAATAAAAATAAACTGGAAAAAAAGAATTGTGTGTAATAAACATAGGTACATAGGTATTCCCATAGTACACTGACTTTAACTCCTTCAGGTGTATACCAAGGAGTGGTATAGCTGGGTCATATAGGAGTTCTA